GCATTAGCAATGCCACGCGAAAGGAGGTAGCTCTACCCGCCATCTTTCTCGCACAAGGTTAGATGCGTTGGGGTACCGTGAGTGTGGAAAAAAAGGATGCAACCAGCCTCTCCCGCACGGAACAGCCCGAAAAAGCTGCGCAGCCCTCTGTTCTGATCGCCTGTCAGTCCGGTCACCGCTTGTCACGATCGGCATTTTCTCCCTTGCACCCAACGAGACGGCCCGTTTTTTGGCTTGCCGGCGAGCAGAGTCTTCTGGCTACAAATGTTAGGTCCCTCTAAGCGCAGTGTAACAGCAGGTCGTGTCGTACACTTGCTTTGCAGCGGCCTCGCGGCAGGTGTTTTATATATCTCCTGAGGAAAAAATCGAACAATACTCCTCTGGAGGAATCTGACATACATTCCTCTGGAGCGCCCCCGGTTCAGTAATTCCTCCAGAGGGTTTTTGGCCAATAATATCACCCAGAAGCATGTGTGTGTCCTTTCCTCTAGGTTGTTTGCAGACCAAAAATCCCCTGGGGTGAAAACCTTCAACAAAAATGCTCGAGGGGTAGTGCCGTAACAATCGTCGGGAGGATTGTTCTGGAGGATCGTTCCTCTGGACGGTGTTTCCTACCACCCAAGTTCCTCCCGACATATTTTTTCTAAATGTCCATTGCTTCTGTTCATCTTGAAAAAAATAACACAGCAGTCAGTCACACCGCGGGTGTTACGCACTACTGCTGTAGGCCTTATTGTGTATTTTGCAACGCCTTTTCGATTGTCAAAATAATACACGAAAACTGGCGGGATGGCGTCTGCAAAAAGAAAGGTGTAAACACAAAGACGGCGACACCTCTCGATGGATTGCACATGCACAAAAAAGAGGTAGAGGCAGGACCCCGACCGCAGCCGCGCCTCCGAAGTAGCCCCATCCCAGCACCACAGCTGCTGAAGTCGCACGCACACAATAAAAGTATATACAGAGCATCAGTAGAAAAGATCAGGACGCCACAGCCTAGAATATCCCAAAAAGTTGCACTCCAACAAAATAGCGTTGTTAGGGTTACGAAACAACAATCGAGTCGCCGCGGCGATCACCATAGGCATTTTCCGAATAGCGCTCTGCGTACATAAGTTACCCGCGAACCCCGCCTTCTCAAGCGCTGGCTATACTCGACAATATTGCCCACCCTGTGCACATCACCCTTCTGTCGCACGCTGCAGGTGTGCTCGCGGACTGGGCACACGGCGGGTCTCATGCACAGCAGTCGACATGGAAGGCTTGTCCACTTGCCCCTCACACAAGACGAGAAGCACCTGCCATTTTGTGCAACGCAGTTGGAGATCGCAACACACGACCGAGCGCGACAACCTGAGGGCGTTAGCAAGTTAGAGACATGGGGGGCTCTATTGTAGATGTTGTGTCGGCCAAACGGGAGGTTCCGGCAGCCAACGTGCCCTTGCCTGCATGGCCTGCGTCTCCGTGTTCATAATTGAATTAAAATCGCGTGCAAGACACGAATGAATTAAATTGGTTCAAGAAAACCTAGGAATTCCGCCCTGTTTCGGAGACATGCGGTGGGTGCGGCGGTGTTTCTGTGCTCTTTTTTGTGAGAAAATACAATGAACTGATGCTTGCTGGGAAGACACGAAATATAGTCGGGGCAAATAACCCCGAGGGGCGAAAAGCTAGCGTGGACAAATAAGAATGTCAACCAAGCCGTTGAACAAACGACGATGGCGAGATGAACATATTTCAACCACGTTATGTTGCCAGATGAATAAGACGACGGACGCGTACGACCGCCCCGGGGCGCGCGTGTTGAAAGGTGTGGAGGGGGGGGGGGGAGGGGGGGAGGGGGGGGGGCTACTCGGTAGTCGTGCATGCCGTAGTCGTTTGACCTCGCATCCCTACAAAGCCGGGACGGAGCACGCCGGGTTATCACCGGACCAGTCTCTCACACCACCAAGCGCGAAGTGCCGTGAGGTATTCGGCGTGTCGCATGAAGGGTGCCCTGCATCCTGCTAAGGGTGTCCGGCATCTTGTGCTTGCTTCATTGCGTATACGGATGACAGCTGCGCATGCATACAGTGCCAAAGGTTGTCCCTCCGGTTTCAGTTGACCGGCCAAACAAAACGTTTGACTCGGGGGTCCAATGAAAAAAAAAAACATTCCCAAGACGCCCATGAGATCGCGCACAAGATTGGATTTTGTTTTTTTAGAATGTAAGGCTGAGTCTTACGGCTTGATTATTTCGGATTTTTTTTTTTTCTGTCGGGGGGGGGGGTGGCCTTGCACGGAAAAATTATCAAGATCCAAACGACCGTCTTACGGTTCCTCGAGGAATATGTTTGGGAAAAAGAGGCTGATTCATGTTCTTGTGAGTCACAACATGCTTCAGTACACAGTTATGGCTCGCGTGCGACCAACAAGACACCGAGCGCCCTGTTTATAGGTCGCCTGCAGAGGGCATGTGTATCATCGCACGCCAGTGGCCACTGTTTGCGGATGTCGTCGGTCAAAGGCCTCTCTCTGATGGCATGCGTTGTACACTGATCACAATCGAGTCGGGGCAAGCGGCAGAAAAAAAAAGCAACGTCTAAAAAAGCCAAGACCGAACCACACCTCGATTCACGTTTGTTTGCAGGCCGTGTGCAATCAAAACTGGACGATACGCTCTGTTTCTGGGACGCAAGTAGAGGGTATGTGTATGACCACACGCCACTGGCTGCTGTTTGTGGATGTCGACGGCTTAAGGCCTCTCTCTGGCATGAGTTTTGAACTGGTCACACATGCACCAGGCGCAAAAACGGATATTTTCGGCCCAAAGGCAAAGACGTCAGCAGAGCAATATGCGGCAGGGTTGACATTTTCGGCTCGTGTGCGACCAACACGACGCAGAACGCCTTGAATTTTAGGTACCTGCACTTTTTTCGCTCAGATAGGACCCCCCCCCCAAATCCAATCCGCAAATAAGCACGCCGCGTAAGACTCAGCCTAAAAAGACAAAATATGTATTTTGTTTTTGGTGGGAAAAAATATCAGTGCATTTTTCAGGTGAAAAAAAAGTGATGGGAAAAAAAGGTGTGACCCGTGGGACCCGAACGTGCAAACTGAGGTGCGCAAGACCGCAACCCGCCCCTGGCGCACTCAGCCATGCACAACTTTGCACGAGGAGGAAGGAAATGTGCGGTTGTATAGAACGAGAGCGTACGATCATTTCACCGGATTTGTTTCGAGAATCGGCAAAGCACACGTTGAGTTATCTCAATTACATGATCGCCAATTTGTTTTATCTATGCTGTTGAGGGTTGTTTTGTTTTTTGTCCAGATTACAGGGTGCCGATTTTTTTTGGAACATTGTCAAAAAGGTTCGGAAATGGAACCGAGGTCATAAAATAGTACCGAGAGATAGCTTCAATTATCTGCATTTTTTTTCGGGGGGTTCGCCGTTGTTGTCGAGATATGGAGGATTTTGTAGGGTGAAACACCTTCGGTGGCGGTGGTAATGGGCCCATAACTTTTCATCCAGAGCGAACCCCCTCATTTCCAAAGGCTTATTCGAACGCTGCGGGCTAGAGCTTTCCAATGAATATTTGTTTGTCGTCCTGACAACCCTTTTTTTGTTATCAGCCTGGCCCAAAACTGTGGGACAACCTCTGGCACTGTATGACTTCAATTATTTTCTAGTGCTTTCACCTCCGGAGACAGTTGTAATCATTGTGTAGCTGCCTCGAGGGTGTTTGACCAATTTAACACAACGTGCGATTATACCCTTTGCGCGTAGTGAGGGTTCTCGACCCCGCACAACATAATCTACTCGACCACCATTCATGGTGACCGCAAAAAAAAAGCCGGTAACCTGGTTGCCGAGTTCACGAAGTGATCGGCTTGTTTTACAACATCTGCCCGGGAAAAAAGAGAGGGAAAAGGCTTCAGTTGAGGCCGGGGCTACCTGTTCTTTTACAACATCGCTGCCAAGCGACGGAAACCCACCCCCCATGGCAAACACCGCGGGGGGGGGGTGTACTCATAGTCGTGCATGCCGTAGTCGTTTGACCATTGACCTCGCATCCCTACAAAGCCGGGACGGAGCACGCCGGGTTCTCACCGGACCAGGCTCTCACATCACCAAGCGCGAAGCGCCGTGAGGTATTTGGCGAGTCGCATGAAGGGTGAGCTGCCATCCTGCTAAGGGTGTTCGGCATCTTGTGCTTACTTCCTTGCGTACGGATGACAGCTACGTATGACTTAATTTATTTTCTGGTGCTTTCACTTCCAGAGACAGTTGTAAGCACTGTGTAACTGCCTCGAGGAAGCTTGACCATTTTAACACAACGTGGTGCGATCATCCCCCGTTGCGCGGAGTGAGGTTTCTCCACCCCGCACAACATGATCTACTCGACCACCATTATGGTTACCGCCAAAAAAAAAAAAACGAGGTAAAAAAAAAAAACGGTAACCTGGTTGCCGAGTTCACGAAGTGAATTGACTTGTTTTACAACGTCGTTGCCAAGCGACGAAAACCCAACCCCGATGGCAAACACCGAGTGGGGGGCTTGTTTTACAACGTCGTTGCCAAGCGACGAAAACCCAAACCCCGATGGCAAACACCGGGGGCGGCGCGGGGGGGGGTACTCATTGTCGTGCATGCCGTAGTCGTTTGACCATTGACCTCGCATCCCTACAAAGCCGGGACGGAGCACGCCGGGTTCTCACCGGACCAGGCTCTAACATCACCAAGCGCGAAGCGCCGTGAGGTATTTGGCGAGTCGCATGAAGGGTGAGCTGCATCCTGCTAAGGGTATTCGGCATCTTGTGCTTACTTTCTTGCGTACGGATGACAGCTACGTATGACTTAATTTATTTTCTGGTGCTTTCACAGAGACAGTTGTAAGCACTGTGTAACGCCGGGGGGGGGGGCGGGGGGTCGAATTAACAAGAGAGGAAATATATACACGCGGGGGCTTATCTAGGTTGCTGTAATGACGAGGAGTTTTTTTTTCAAGGGATATGTGTTAATGACACGAGGGAGACGAGCTCGAAGGGTGCCAATGGGGTATTTTGCCGCACAAGCAACCCGACCAACCCACGTCAAATACCACAACTGGATTATCAAAATATGTTCGAAATAGACGCAAACAGTCAAGTGCTGTCGTACCGAACCCCAAGCGAATCGACGTCCTCCTCACCTCTGACTAGCCCACATCTTGTCTCAGACAACACCGTCCTGAAAAGAACTCCGCCAGTGCTCGTTCGGCATGTACGCGTCCCGTGGCCCGGATTGGCCGCTGCTAGCCTGTAGTGGTGCTTCCAAACCTTCCCCCCCCCTCTAGCTCTGTGATCAGCGTGAAGTCCGCACGAGTCGGGCGCTGGAGTGTGACTGACCCCGGTGGCGAAGCTCGACGCCGGGCAGTGGTGGTACATCATGACATGCCTGCGAATGGCTTCGATCGGGTAGACTGACGGAACCTGCTTAACCCCTCCCTGCAGCCAGTAGGTGGGGTGCTGTGTGACGGAATCTGCTTTCTTGGACCGTCCAGACCCACAAGCGACGAACTCGTACGCGAGGACAAACTCCATCGCGGGGCCCGCGTCAGGGATGGAGTCAGGGCGTCGGTTGCCCTCGAGGTCGAAGAAGTACAAGATCCTTCCCAACGTGACATGACCGTCACCGCTCAGGTCGTCCCTCTTGGCCATGGGGTTCGTAAAAATTTCTACAGCGTCTCCTTGCCCGCTGCCCGCCACCCAGTCGCGCGGGGTTGCCCCGCCCGCGGTTGCGGCCTTCACGTCGCCCCCCTTGAACCGCCCCAGCCCGCTGCTGATCTTGGCAGGCACGCCGTGCTTGATCCGATGGCAGATGATCTCGTCATTTTTCAGACTCTTCCCTCCCCCCTCCCAGCAGGACGAGCACCTCAGCTCTTTACAGACGTCGCGGCCGTCACCGTCGGAGCGGCCGCAGGCATACCACAGGGTATTGGCGTTCAGGATGGCCCCCGCGCTGGGACGTACGGCACCTTTGCTCAAACACGCTTCCCACGCCTCCCTCGGCCCCCCACCGCCAGATGATCCGCCTCCGACGTCGTCGGGCGCCACTCCACTGCCTGCTGATCCGGCTCTGACGTCGTTGGGCGCGGCATCTTGACGCAGGATTGTCGCACGCCAAGTGGCTGAGCCGTGGGGTTGCCCCGCCAACATTGCTGCCGTCGGTTTCGTGCCCTCGGTGCCATCGACAACGTTCGTTATCCCTCCCGAGAGACTGTCGTCGAGCGCCTGTAGGACGCGCTGGCAGCCGGGACCAGAGGTCACCGTCTCGGTAATCATAGTCTTTTTGGAGTAGGAGTACCGGGTTGCTGTGTAGGTCTCGGATGTAGCCAACCTCATCAGCGCCAGCTTGGTGTTCGTATTCCTCGCGTGGTGTGCAGGCGGGTCTCGTGAGCTGCCTGACTTGTTGTGTTTCTTGTGGTGTTGGTGTCCTCCCTCGCTGACGTCTGCATTCTGATGGTGCCCTGATGGGAAAGGGCAGACGAGGGAGAGGTGGAAGAGTTTTTAGGGAAACAGAGGAAACTTGGCGTACTTTCTTGTACATTACTCTAGCAGCGAGCGACAAGAACAAACATAAGAGCAACGGTCTGTGAAACGCATGAGATAGAAGTGCTTGTACGGTCAACGCATGTTGCTGACATGATGAAATGGTTCGAAGACCAGTGTCACGTAGATGAGCTGAATTTATCTGAGTACCATGAGCGACGACTCCTTTTCGTGCCCCCGACAGTCAGCCGACGTTATCGTTAAGACATATTCGAAATCAGCAATGGGAGCAGCACACATTTTGCTATGAGCTCACATGGAGATTGTTCACCCTGCAACGCAAGACGTCGACGCTACACCACCAACATCGCGATCAATACAGTACGAACCCAACAGCAGCGGTTAGGGAACGAGGGCTAGGAACAAACAAGAGCGATCCCGGCGCGTTCTTCTAACGAGATAGATATGGCCACTCTGAGAGCGTTAAGGAACACCACACAAGTTGCGGGCTAGCACCCACGTCGATCTCGACCAAAAAAACAGGTGGCGTTGATGCAGACACGAGGCCAAGACGAAGAGTTTGCCAAAAGACGTCGCCCAGTCTCTAGGTACCCTCTGATCCCCCACGTGCTCGATCCGTGTCTGTCACGCAGTGTTGCCATACTATGTATTAGACACACACAATGTTAGGACAGGCTGAAACACTGCTGACTTTCAATGGTAACATCACAAAATATGTCGTTGAGTCTCCTTACCGTGTGCTTTGATGCTGTCGGCGAAGTGAAGCCACATGTGGTTGCTCGTCCTCACGCCCGCCCGCCCCAAGGTAAGCTTCGCGTTTTCGACCTTTCGTCAATGAGGAAAAAAATGCGAAACGCGGAGCGAACACTCAGCAAGCTTGTGAGACCGAACGATAACGGCAGGGTGAAGAAATCGTGGGGTGCGGTTGGGGGAAAAAATCGTTGGGTTGGTTTCGAGCACGCAAAAACTCACACAGTACTGGGCCCTCAACAGTGCACGTAAAACTTCTGGACACAGACAGCGCCCCCAATCATGTTATATATATACTTACAGATGGTCGTCGTGACGTGATACATTTCTTGTTATTAGTATGGAAAAAAAAATAAAAAAAGATGGCTCGATTTTTGAATTTCTACAGCAGTATGGACCAGACGCCGACTTTACATGGAAGTCGTACGAGTGTCGACTTAGTTGTGCTGTCACAGCATCTTCCACGCACTTCTGCCAGTGCTGCTTTGTTAATTGGAGTCTTGTAGGTCGAGATACAGCAGTGGGATTCTCGGGTTGTGGAGGCAAAAGTGAACCAGAGCAAAACATTTCATGCATAGCTCGATTACTGCTGCTGCTGTGTTCTTGCTACAGCAGTATGGACTAGACGCCGAACGACGTTCGCGTGCTACAAGTACCGCAACGACCTAACGGGATGGGATACATCCTGCCACGGCGAAGCATAGTACAGTGCGATGCAAACATCCGTTGGTGTGTCTCGCGGCTGCCACATGTGTCGACGACAGGTACACGTAGAGCTCTCGCCATGTTGTCGTTACCGCGCAGGAGGACCCCTCGGAGATGTTCCACATGGTGCTACAACGACAGCAGTACTACTGTACATAGATGTCGTAGGAGAGTGGAGTTGTGCTGTCACGGCATCTCCCACGCACTCTCCTACCGGTGCTTGTGTCGATTGGAGTCTTGTAGGCCGAAATACAAGAGTGGGTCGGACTCCCGGGTTGTGGAAAGCAAACCTGCGTGCAACAACAGAGAAGGCGGTGTTCTATTTACTATAATAGAGTATCCCGCTCAACGTTTTTTTTTTTCGCGGCATGTGGTCGCATATTTCTTTGCCACTGCCGAAAAAGACCGCTGGATCTTTACGCAGTACATCTTTTGCATTTATCATTTTACACTGAACGACGCAGTACGGGTCGACCTTCATCGTTGTTGTTGTTGCTGTTGTCTCCACATTAAAAACCGTTCCGACGTCCTCCTCGATACTTGTGGACTACCTGTTGGAAATTGTGGGATTCCCTTCATTCTGAGAGAGAGAGCCATAGGTCGCCATCCGGCCTTTTCTTTTTTTGTATGCACTTTTCTTCTTGTGAAGTTTTGACGTTGCGCTTGCCATCGTCGCCGCGTAAGTGTTTGTGTCTTCAAACCTTCTCAGCCGGCCTTCAAACTTCTTGTTGATAAGTCTCCGTGTGGTAACTTCTCCGCGCATGAGTCATACGCAGCTATGACCTGCGCTTTGACTTTCACGATGGGTATTTTACCTCCCCGTGTTGCGTTGGTGAGTACCTGCGATATACAGAAGGATCGCTCCACGACGCAAACAAACGTCGACGTCTCCGTTTTGTTTTTGTTCCCTTCGCACTCCATCCTTGCGGGGGGTTTCACCCCGAGTTCGAACGTGGGGTGCAATTTCCTCTCTTCGTACCTTCCTCGTCGGCCTTCTCCGTCGTTGTGTACATAATGTATACCTCGATTTTTCGGCTTTTCGATTCCGATAGACAAGACTACGGACTGACATGTTCCTTTCACCCCCGACGGGACCGCGCGCTCGTCGAGTGCCGAAATTCTTCATCACTTCCTTGCCTCTCCCAACACCGTCCCTTCTTCCCGCCCTTACAAATCCTCTCCCCTTCTTCTTCTTCTTTCCGTCCTCCCGGACACTCACCACCATCCGTCCTGGACATTGGCCCACAGCCCCATTGGGGGGCGGGGGGCCAATCCTTAACCCTAGTAGTGCAGGTTGGGCACCACCGCGCCTCGCAATAGTGCCGGTTGGACACACACACAACATAAAGTGAAAGAGAGCAGGAGTTTCGAGCCAGATGACCCCCCCCACAACACACGACGCACGGCTACCGAACAACCGCCGATAGCTGTAAGAATGACGATGAGAGTGATGAGGGTGAAAGGAAGGAGGACGATCATGGTGAACGCACCCAAAAACGACCTAGAGTGCAAGGTAGCAGCCTGGTACACACAACCCTAAACCAACAACGATATAAGGGTTTCAGAAATACACGCAGAGGCTGATGTCATCGCCACGCTCACATAGTCTCCCGCCCGTGTGTGCAGTTGGAGCAGGTCGAAATCGGTGAACTCTTGGCCGTTGGCGGCGAAGGAGAGCGAGGACGACGCTTGGAAGTACTCGAGTACACGATCCCGCACTTCCTCGGGGCTCACGTGGCCCCATATCTCTCCGTTGTACTTCTTCAGCGCCGTTGAGTTCAGATAGTGTTTCTGGTTGTTGAAGCGTTCGTCAATTCGGACGAAAGCAGGCGTTGATGGGGCAAGGGTAGGGGAGTTGGGGGTGGAAGCGGCCGGGAGTCGGGACGTCGACAGGGTACGGTATATCTTTTTTGTGGAACAAAAGAACCTGCAGTAGGCTCGTGCGTTGTTACCATTGGCGGCTCGTTTGTACCACACAGCAGAAGTGTTGAGTTGGGTTAGGTGACCAGTGTGATTTACACAGAGGTGGGGGCGGTGGTAGTCATCATGGGGAGCGAGGAGGAGCGGGGGGGGGGGGGGAGTATTTATCATCATCAGCGAAAGAGGGGGGTGGTGTTAATCATCTGCTGGTGTACACACAAGAAGGCAAGGATGCCTGTACAACCCCGAGACCGAGCAACCCAGCAACCAAACAAGCACAAACGACAAACCGACAGGAGCAATTGCGCATGCATGCGCGTCTCTCATATGTCTCCTGTTTGTCAGCTGCTCGATCGCGTGAGAGTAATAAGGCACACACAACAAGCACCAGACCAATAAGAACCAAAACGCTTATTATTTCCTCTCGCTTCCGCCGTGTTGTGGCTACACCCGCCCGTCAGCCTTCCTCTCCCTGGTGGTATGTGTTCCGCTCCAGCCTCCCTCTCCCTCTGGTGTGCATCCCCCTCGTCCTACTGCCGTGTGTGCATCTTTTTGTATCGACAACTACCATACAAAGAACGTCTGCCTGAGTTTTTTTGGGGTGCGCTTGGTTCTCTCTACTTCAGGTTCGGCGCAGATGCTGTGCTACCTCGATGCGCCGAGCACGGATTGAGCTGGAGGCAGTTGTGACAGCTCGGGCAAAATGCTACTTTTGTTGTGCACAAGTCTTAGATTGCAATTTGGTGGCGAGTTCGTGAAATGGGCTCGAATTTCCTGTGTATCGCGCACGGACAGACAGACAAAAAAACGTTGCCCCCCCCTAGCGAGTTTTTCATGGTTTTGACGTTCCCTCAAATCAAGACACCCCACATGGAAATAGGGAGCAAACTTCGGCAGGTCTGTATTCATCGATGCGATATCGTTTGTGTCACTGCCGAACACTCTCACCATCATGGCCGTGGATAAGAGCAACCCGCGCAGAACGATGAGCTGTACACTCCCAAAAAGCGCCTTCTGCGCCCCGGTGTAACCTGGGTAGTCCTTAACAGGGTTCTTGAGTGGCGAGACTCCTGCACCAAGCAAGGTGCGACCCTGCCGGAAGATTCCCGCAACGTGTTCTCGGCCGGCTGGTGACAGAAGATCTAGGAGAAACGTCTGCGATTGACCGAGGTGGTTCTGAAAACCAAAAGCCCGAGAGCGCAACGCACAACCAACAGCGGGGTAGGTATTATTAGCACATCGCTTGTAAAGGGTACGCCATCACCTCTACACTCTCTAGCCTATTGTAGATAGTCACAAAAAAAAACCCAGTGGGCTACATTTCATGTCAGAGGCAGAAGCGGATGTGGCGTTCTGCATTGAGTGCGTTGCGACGCTCAGGCCTGCCGAGCGATGGCGACAGAGGAAAAGAGGTGCTCAACGCAATCGACTTTCAGCAAACACGATTCCGCAACAGGCTTTGTGGTACAGGTGTGGGTCGAACCTATACCCGCCTACGCTCAGTGAACATTGTCCGAACGAGTGGTGTAACGGGTTAGAACTCTCACCAGATTGTTGAGATGGAGGAGCTCCGAGCCCACACACACCATGGGCGAGTGCATCGACGTCAGATCCCAAAGCGCCCGTGGATGACCGACCAACGTGGGGTGTGGCTCCACGATGCCGAGCTCTTTGGACAACTTCACCGCTTCTCCAGTCCCGAACCCCATTTCCAAGAGCTTAGACCGCCCGTGCTCACACTCTCGTCGCGTTCGGCGGTTCTTGACGACGTCGTAGTCTCTCTCGCCCAGTTGTCCTCCAACGTCGTCAGCGTCTGCGGTCTGCTTGACCTTGCAAAGCGAGCAAGGATGCGACGTTCTCTGGCTGACGCCCTTGAAGCCGAGCGATCCTTGCCTCTCCGGTGTGTCTGCGGTTTTCGACACCATGCCTCCGCGGGCAAAGACCTATTACCAAAAAGACGCGAGGGACACCACAACGGAAAGGAAGGGCGAAGATTAACAGTGAAGGTTGTGTGGCTGTGTTGTGTTTTCGTCCTATTTATTATGACGACAGCCCCCCCATTTGTCGTGGTGAGGCGTGTACTACACCTTTCAGTATATGTACCGTACTACACATACATATTTTCGTACAACTACAACCATCCAAGGTCACACAGGAGGGGGTAAACACGGGGAATTTATTGTGATTTTATTGCCCCACATTCCTCCTGCGGCGCATGCTGATTTTTTACTTCATCACGACAAGGGTCCAGCCGTCCATTTCCCTCGTCGACGGTGCTAACGTAGACGTTTGCTACTCACGCGAGCTTATCAGTTTTTTTCTTTCGCTTGCAGGCAAAGTTGTGAATGTTTTACCCCATTGGGATTCGAACTCACGACTTTGCCACTATCTAGCGGTTTCGAGGTCACCACTATCTAAATAAACAGACCACCGGGCGGGGCGACCGGTTCTACCACTTGAAAAGTTCAGAGATGACGCCTCGATCTACCATATACGTACCCGGAACCCGCACACATCGGAAACAAGGGAATTAGACTGAACAACAACACCCACATACTATTAACAGAGACCGGCGCCCGAATACGGTGCACCACCCTTTGCAAGAAATGACGCACGGCAAGTCATCTTTGGGGTTGCGACTCTCAAAGTCAGGGATGGTAACGCTTGCATTATAAAGCAGAGATATCCCGGTTACCACACATTGTACGCATTTAGCACAACACTGCCGTTCCACATTCATTTTGCACGCTCTCGCCGACAGAAAACAAAAAGTATGTATATGCTGTTCCACGGGCTCTGTCATACGACGAATGGGAATGGAAAAAAAGAGTTGGACAGCCTGTGGTAGCAAGGACATATGAAGGACGAGCAACAGCTGCGGTGAAATATCCTCTCGACAGACGATGAGGCGATATTCCGCAAGAGGAACCCCGCAAAAATACAAACAAACGCGGAACATCGATGGACTAATACGCGTACATCACAACATGGTCTACATTCGTGCAACTTGAGAGGCTGCGTGCCATCTGCCGCCTGCTTGCTTATTTTGTTCAGCTTGTTGCGCCTCTCTCAGCATGGCGATGATTTACCACAAAAGGAAGCAATACCTCGCGACCTACGACACAGCTTTAGTTCGAAATGTATGCTTCAATCTTTTCCACGAGGCCTACATGAGAAAACGACACAGACAGATATTTCGGTATGGAGGTGGCCAGCGCGTTCGAGAGACGTGGGTGCAATGTTCATTCTCACCGTGCACTCGCAGCTCTCTCCCCGGACGCCACCAGAAGGTTCGACGATTTTTGTGTAGCAACCTTTCTCGAGCTCGCGAAGAACACCTGCCGCAAACGCCATGGCTCCGTCATAACACGCACCAGGTTCTGCCGTCGTTGTCGCATGAAGCCAGCGCTTACGCCGAAGCAATCGCCGATCTAGCGTAAGCAACTGCCAGTACCCGGCCCCCTCCGAATACTGCAATGAGTATCGTGTACATTTCGCGAGCGGAGGGACGGAGAGAAAGATAACCATGAGTCCAACGGCGGCGAAAGGATCACTAACGCAGGGTGTGCTTTATTACGCGATTGCCAAACACTAC